ACTCATATGCCTGTCTTTTGTTTGGCTGGAAACCACAGGTGTGAGTTCAATTCCAGATCTGAAGGGCAGCTAAGGGCCATAGTCTCAGTGGTTCCACCAGGCTCTATTGGGAGGGACAGTTTTATAGTGGAGAATTAATCTGCAAATAGAATGTAATGAATAGAAATTTCAGGAATGCTTTTCTTCTATTCATTAAAGAATACTTGTGAAGTTACACTTTAATAACTGTTAAGGAGTATCTGTGCATGTGCATTTATAATGCAGGGAACCTTTCCCTGAACTTCAACTTGTTATATTTTAGAACTATAGCATTTTGAGGTTGTAAGATATCTTCGACTCTGACACACCTACTTGCATGTTTTCAATGATGGACAGCTCTATGTGTTTGTGTGTCTGAGGCAGCTCTAATTCTTTTTTGCAAAATTGTCAATAGTCTTTATTATTTTGAACCAAGATACTTCTATGTATTGGTCCTGGCCCCACTGTGTGAAACATAGATAATGACAATCTCCCTTCTTTTCAAATATTTGTCATCTGACATATGTCTACTATCTGTTTTACCAAAATTTTAAGCCACCTCCTTTTTTTTAACCTTAGATATCCTTGTTACCTTAATTCCTTTCTATGACTTTTTAGTTATTTCTATTCTAACAAAGTTCTCTTTTTTTAAAGGTCTCTTTTAATGTTGTACTTAGATTTCAATGGAAGAGTCCAGATGTGATCTAACAAATTTATAATAAACGAGGACCATTATCTTCTTTATCCTGGACATTGTTAATATTTTTAAAGATTTCATAGATAATATACTTGAAGATTCTGTGGCTCTGTAATTTTTTAATTCAGCTTTTGACCCCATGTTCTAAAGTATATTACTTGAGATAGTTTTCAGATAAATCAAATGTTAATATTTAGATTCTTAAGATTGATTCTAGCATTGTTACTTAAGTAGAATATTTAAAAAATATATTAAATACCATTTTAATGTTGTCATTAGATGCTGTCGAGTCGTCTCTGACTTAGCGACCCTATGTACAACAGAACGAAACACTGCCTGGTCCTGTGCCAGCCCCACAACCCTTGCTACACCTGAGCCCATCATTACAACCATTGTGTCAGTCCATTTCATTGAGGGCCTTCCCCTTTATCATTGACCCTCCACTTTACCAAGCATGATCTCCTTCTCCAGAGAATGTAGGTGAGGCGAAGTCTGGCCATTCTCAGCTTCCAATGAACATTCCGGCCGCACTTCTTCCAGGACAAATTTGTTAGTTTTTTTAGCAGTTCATGATACTTTCAGTATTCTTCACCAACACCATAGGTCAGAAACATCAACTCTGCTTCAGTCTTCCTTATTCATTGTCCAGCTCTCAAATGCATACGGAGATTGAAAATACCATGGCCTGGGTTAGGCGCACCTTAGTCTTCAAGGAGTTATCTTTGCTGTTCAGCACTTGAAAGAGGTCTTTTGCAGCAGATTTGTCCAATGCAATACGTTTTTTGATGTCTTGACTGCTGCTTCCATTGGTGTTGGTTGTAGAACCAAATAATATGAAGTCTTTGACAACTTCGATCTTTTCTCCATTTATCGTGTTGCTGCTTATCGGTCCAGTTGTGAAGATTTTCATTCTCTTTATATTGAGATGTAATCTGTACTGCAGAGTGTAGTCTTCAGTCTTTATCAGTAAGCGCTTCAAGTCATCCTCACTTTCAGCAAGCAAAGTTGTTTCTCATCTGCATATTGCAGGTTGTTAGTGAGTCTTTCTCCAATCCTGATGCCATGCTCTTCATATAGTCCAGCTTCTCAGATTATTTGCTCACCCCTCTTGCATATTAAATAATCTATCCTCCCTCTTGGGGAGTTCTGGTGGTGTAGTGCCTAAGGCACTGGACTGATAACTAGAAGGTTGGCAGTTCAAACCCACTATCCACTCCTTGGAAGGAAGATTGGGCAATCTACTTCCTAGTGATACTGCCTTGGAAACCCAAGGAGGGGTTGCTATGAGTTGGAGATGACTCGACAACACATGACAACAACAACAACATCCCCCCTCTCTAGAATGTAAGCTGTATGAGGCGGTATGAGGTTAGGAATTTTTGTTTTGTTCTTTGATGTATCCCCAGCACCTAAAACCCACTGCCACAGAGTTAGTTCTGACTCATAGTGACCTTTTAGGACAGAGTAGAACTGCCTCCATGTTTTCCATGGCTGTAAATCTGTATAGAAGCTGACTGTCTCATCTTTCTCCAGTGAAACGCCTAGTGGGTTCCCGGCACCTAGAACAGTGCCTAGCAAATAGTTAGGATAAGTATGTGTTGTTGAATTAAGACACATTAAAAATCAGTTGAATTAAGTATGTAAGGTATATTTTCTGTACATCTTTGTTGGATTCTTCTCTACATGGTTTAGTATTCTTTTGATTTTACCTTTATTAAAAACAATCAAAACTCTCTGACAGTTGAATATAAAGTTCATTCTGAGCAGTTATTCTGTATGCATATAGGGAGACCATTTTGATTCCAGAAAAAGCAAACGGCTGGAACCTGCTTAGGCACAATGAGGTTTATAAAGAGAAGAAAACAAGAGAAGGGAGAAATATAGAAGATCAACCTTTTGCTAATCTTAAAGTGATTGACTGAGCCCTCCCTTCACCCCTTTATTGAGATCAACTGATACTGGCTTGGGTGCTCATAATTTGGCCCTCCACCCACCAGCAGCCTTGAGACTTTTTGAGATTTAAATTAGGAGGTAATGGTTTGAGTACTACCTTTTTCTAGCTGGGTAAGTCAAATTTACATTACTTTAGAGCAGCTCCTGGCAGGCATTTGCAGTTTGGATCTGGCTTTTCATGGTTAATGTTTGGTTTCCTGGATAAGAAAAACCTTAAAATCAAACTAAGATGCTTGTTACTAATTTTCTTTGACATTTTAATGTGTTTTTTGGTGAAACTATACACTGCAAGGCATTTGGCTGCTAACCAGAAGGATGGCAGTTCAAACCCACCAGCTTCTCCACGGGAGCAAGATGAGGCAATCTACTTCCATAACAATTTATAGCCTTGGAAACCCAGTGGGGGTTTTTATGAGTCGGAATCAACTGGATGGCACACACACACACACACACACACACACATTGCCTTTGAGTTGGATCCGACTCATAGCAACCTCTCCTTGGGCTTCGGAGGCAGTATCACTATGGAAGTATATTGCCCAAGCTTCTTTCCGAGGAGTGGCTGGTGGGTTTGAACCACCAGCTTCTGGTTAGCAGTCAAATGCCTTAGGTACTACGCCACCAGAACTCCTATGGCGGTGGGTGTGTTATATACAGCAAAACAGGTTCTAATTCCACAATTTTTACACGTATTATTCTGTGATACTGGTTATACTCTTCCCATTGTATGAACATTTTCAATATTTTTGAAGTTGTTCTATTTTCATTAACTTAGTCTCACTTCCCCCGAACTTTTTCAGCTTTGCTTTAGAATAACAATGTAGTCTCATTAAAAACAAACAAACAAAAACCATAGCAACCCTAAAGGGCAGAGAAGAGCTTCCCCATAGGGTTTCCAAGGCTGTAAATCATTCCAGAGTAGACTGCCTTGTCTTTCTCCCTCAGGCATCTGGTGGGTTTGAACCATTGACCTTTTGGTTAGCAACCACATGCTTTGCCCACTATACCACCAGAAGTCCTTTGGTCTCATATAGATAAGTTTTAAAAGAGTGCAGTACTCAAGGGTGACATTCTGTACTTTTTGAGCTAACCGGCTATTTAGTTAAAAGTTGACTGCAGGGGATAGGTTTGGTTCAATGTTTGGAGAGTATCTCAGGAGAAGAGTCTGCGGGATTCTGCCAATCTGTGGATCTGATAAATCTGGATTTTTTTAGAATTTGAAGTTCTGTTCCACATTTTTATCCCTTTCTATCAGGAGCTATCGTGACCCTGATCAGAATGTTTGGTAGTGGTAACCGGGTACCTTTCTTTACTTTTGATAAAACTAAACGTATGCTCCACTCTTCTCTCTCCAAGCTAATACCATTTTCAGTGAAAACTGGAAATTGAGGGCTATTGCAGTAGAATCTGAATTTCTTTTGTAATGTGTCTGAAATGCCTGCTGCCTGATCACCTGTTGCAGATTTTCCCTTTTTGTTGATGTGGTTATAGGAAAGGGGGCAGGGGGAGGAGAACACAGTTAACTTAAGCTGTTCTTTATTCTGTTATTATAGAAGCTTGGCTTGGTATTGTTTACCTGTAAAGCAGTGCTTTGCATTTTAACTTTACCTGGAGGGAGCTCTCATTCAGATATCTTAGAATGTTTTTGGATTATGATGTAAACCACAAATCAAATCTCTGAGCTTGTATCCTCTCATATTTAGTATCCCTTTGGAGAAGGAAGTTTAGTTAAATTGATCCTGATCATAGGCTTTTGTTTTTCCCCTCACAACTGTAAATCCTTTTATTTATCAGCTTTATGCCCAACCCAGCATCTCAAAACAACTATTATAATTGACCAATTATCACGATTGGTAGTTATGAGCCTTTTATTTTCCCTCTGCATTAAGAGCACGTGGACCATCCCTGCTTCTGGTTTTAGTTGAGATTTTTGAGAGGATGATTTATGTGTTTACTAAGTTATAACCTGAAACTTTAGTACAGAAAAATTTATGTTGACTGTGCTGGGTTACTTCATGTTGTTGTTGTTGTTATGTGCCATCGAGTCGGCCCCGACTCATAGCGACCCCTCCTTGGGCTTCCGGTTACTTCATAGTGTAATAGAAATAGAAATTTGACAGATAATCCATCTTCAGAAAATGACATTATAGGTAACTTATTATTATTATTATTATTATTTGGTTTATTCGCCATTAACAATGTGCTTTAATTTCCAAATTAGAATATATCCCTATTTGTCAGTTTGTTATAAATTTATTTTCTTGTTTTCCTTAGGATATTAGTTGCAATGAGATTCAGGTCCTTCCCCAACAAATGGGAAAATTACATTCACTTAGAGAGCTAAACATAAGAAGAAATAATCTTCACGTGTTGCCAGATGGTAAGTTTTTCATTATTTTTACTGACATGAATTAAAGAGTGACTGTATAAAATTTAATTTAAGTATTTTTCTTTCTTGAACAGAATTAGGAGATCTTCCCTTAGTCAAGCTGGATTTCTCTTGTAACAAAGTGATTGAGATTCCAGTTTGTTACAGGAAGTTGCATCATTTACAAGTAATAATTTTGGATAACAATCCACTACAGGTACCACCAGCACAGGTTTGTAATAAAAATATGGTACTTATTTCTTATTTCCATTCACAATTATATGTCTTCATTGCTGGTAAATTAAAAACAAACAAACAAACAAACAGACCCAGCAGGAGTGAGAGTTAGTTGGTCCTGTACTATTGTTAAAAGGAATTTTTCTAAAAGTGAAGTTTTCACTTTGGTAAGCGTTTTATCTTAAGCTCTAGAATAGGATTTGGAAAATGTATATTAGCTTTTTGTTTGTGAACTGGATAATTCTGATTGTCAGTGTTATTTTAAAAGGATTGACTAGGAAATCTCACTTTCTGCCCATTTCCTACTCAGGTATATGTTGTTGTTGTTATGTGCTGTGGAGTTCCACCTGACTTATAGCGACCCCTCCTTGGGTTTCCAAGGCAGTATCACTCACTACAAAAGTAGATTGGCCCATCTTCCTTCCGAGGAGTGGCTGGTGGGTTTGAACTGCCAGCCTTCTGCTTAGCAGTCAAGTGCCTTAGGCACTATACCACCAGAGCTCCCACTCAGGTATATATCTACTTGGAATTTGTTTTGTGGTTGGGGCACATTCTTCATACTGACAGAATTGTAGCAGAAAGATTAAGATTTTTTTTTTAAAAAAAAAAAAGGAAAGGAAAAACAAGTACAAAACTAAATAAAGTTTTTGGTTTAATAAAAGTTAGATCCATGTCCCTGGGTGGTGGAGATAGTGACACGCTGGACTATTGACTGAAAGGTCAGCAGGTCAGACCCACCCAGAGGTGCCTGGGAAGTAGGACTTGACGATCTGCTTCCAAAAGGGCCCATACCTGAAAACCTTGTGTAGTGGTTCTGCTCTACATACATGATGCCACCACAAGTCAGAATGGACTCAATGGCAACTAACACACAACAACAAATCCATATGAAATTCACTGAAAAATAGTAAAGGAATAAACTAAGATGCAAACCCATAAGGAAAAAGAATGGAAGAGAAGAGGACAAAATAGGAGAGATGTCAACAGAATTATTGAAAATGGAAAACAGGTGTAATAGTGGTAACTAGGAAATCTGTTTACACTGCACAGGGTGTGTGGCCAAGGATGCACATGGCAGTGAAATCCCAGCCTGCAGTCTACATCTAAGTTTTGTGCCCTGCACAGGGTTTGCATACATGGAGAGGAAATGACTACATTTTTTTCCTACAAAGTTGTAGTCTGCTCATTCCCAAAAAGGTGCCTATTCTGATTTACACAAAGGCTGGTTGGAATCCTATGTTAGTGTCCTCTGCAAGCAGAAACAGTAACACATATACAACACACACATTAAAAAAAAAAAAAGAACAACCTACGGCCATGGAGTTGATTCTGACTCACAGCACCACTGTAGGACACAGTGGAACTGCCCCATAGGGTTTCCAAGGTTGTAAATCTTTATGGAAGCAGTCTGCCCCATCTTTTTCCAGTGGAGTGGTTGGTGGGTTTGAATCTCTGACCTTTTGATTAGTAGCCCAATGCTTTAACCACAGCGCTACTAGAGTTCCTTACATACATAGAAAAATAGAGAGATTGAAATTGATATTGACATATTTCAAGGGATTGGCTCACGTAATTGGTAGGGGCTGACAAATCTAAAATCTGTAGGTGAGGCAGCAGAGTAGAGACTTTTTCAGGCTCATGTCCCAAGATCTGTAGGTCAGGTGACAGAAACAGTGAAGAGTGGAGAGAGGGTGAGTTCTGCCAAAATATTTATATTTAAAGTTTAGGTGTAGAACACAGCCTAAGAAAATTCCGTTTTCAACTGATTGATTGATTACATTGCATTACATTGTAAGAAAACAACCAGTCTAATGTTTGGCTAAATCACTGGGATCCATAGCCTAGCCAAGTTGACACAAAAATCTAACTATCACAGATCCTGGAAAGTAGCTGCGTTTGCAGAATGAGGAAAGTGAAAATTTTATGTTATGGGATAGAACAAAAGGAAGTAAGTCAGTTTATGTAAACCTGGAATTGGGTTGGGAATTGGAAGAACCAGGTAACTCTGAACATAGGGATGAGGTCCTGAAAATAGGAAGGTTGTGGAATGTGTAAGTGCTGTCCAGTGACCTTTCTGTGATGATGGAAATGTTCTATAATCTGTGCTGTCCAAAATGGTAGCCTCTTGCCACATGGGCTTGAAGTACAGCTAGTGCAACTGGGGACTAACTTTTTTGTTTTATTTACTTTGAGTAAGTTACATTTAAATTGGTACATGTGGCTAGCTGCTACCATATTGGATAGCACAGGTCTGAGGAGCGTCTATATCCTCAGAGCCATGCTCTTACCCAGCAGCTGCTTGATTTTACCTCCCTTGGTTCAGCAGAAAGAAGACTGGAGTTGACTTTAAGGAATAGACAGAACCTCAGATTTCCTCTCTCGGCTCAGCAGCCAAGTGCCTGTCCCTCCATGTCTCAGCAGAAGACTGAAGTTTTACTCTTTAGAGCATCACTGTCAGTTAGAACTTTTTGGAAGTGATGGAAACATTCTGTGTCTGCACTGTCCAATATATAAGCCACAAGTGGCTATTGAACACTTGAAAGTAAAGAGTGTGACAGAGGCATTGACTTTTTAGTCTTATTTAGGTTTAATTAAATTTAAATAGCCTCATGTGACTAATGGCTACCATATTGGAACAGCATAGCTGTAGAAAGCTTGAACTAGAGAAGCTCTAGAGTCAGGGGCTTCATGCACAGCTGTGGACAGAAATGAGACCCTATACTGAAAACAGTGAGTGCCTGCATACTGTGTGTTGGTTCAGTGGACTCTCTGGTCCACTTTTGTTGCTTGGCTTCCAACCTGTCTTATATGCCTCAAGCAGGAAATTGTTGGGTTTCTCTCTTGGTAAAATGATTGAGCAAGGAGAAAACACACACACACACACAGACACATGCATGAGCTCTGGTGGTACAGTGGTTAAGGAATTTGGCTGCTAACCAAAAATGTCAGTGGTTCAAACCCACCAGGCACACCATGGAAGAAAGGCGAGGCAGTCTACTTTGGTAAAGACTTACAGGCTTGGAAATCCAATGAGGCTTGCTATGAGTCAGAATCGGCTTGATAACAGTCAGTTTTTTAGTATATATATATATCTTAAAAACTCCAAACCAAACTTACTGCCATGGTGTAATTCTTGATAGGTTTGAATTTACGGTGGTCATTTTGCTGTGTGTGTGTGTGTGTGTGTGTAATTGATGGTTTCTTTGTTCAATATATTTTCCTGTTCATTTTGTTTACAGATTTTCTTATCAACTCCTTTGTGGCTGTTGATTTAGGCTTATTGAGATTTTATGATTTTCTTTTTTATTTTGGTGAGCAGATGCATTAATTTTCTTTGTTGTTGTTGTTGTTGTTAAGTGCCGTCGAGTCGTTTCCGACTCATAGCGAACCCATGCACAGCAGAACGAAACACTGCCCGATCCCGCGCCAGCCCCACAATCCCTGCTATACTTGAGCCCATCATCGC